AGGAAGGTCCCCCTGTAAAGAAAAGCAAAAAAATTCCCACATAAGTAGACGTCCATATAGTAGATCGTTATAGGTAATGAAAACTAAACCAAACCATTTTCCTTCCGATTTTCATTTATTTTATGCTCTCTCGAAAACAACTTTGTCACAACGAGACTGCCCGAGTGACATTGGTTCCCCGGCCATTCCAATCGGGCAAGGATCAAGGAAGGTCCCCCTCAAAAGAAAAGCAAAAAAACCGAAAAAAAACTATGTTGTGAACTAGGCTACCAGCCGGGCCGCCCGGGTCACCTTGTTTGCCTGGGCTGCCAGGCCGTGCAAGGGTGATAGAAGGTCCCAGCACATCTGACAAACGTTATGCAAAACAATAAAATTTAATAAACCGAACAACTTTTGCCTCAGGCTCACATCGAAATTCTTTACCAAATTTTAAATTAAAATTAAAAAACAATTCTTTTTATTTTTATTTCTTTTGTTTTTTGCGACCCGGTTGGGCAAGTGGTCCTGGGCCACTCCAGTTGCCAACGTTGTGAACAACAACTTTTACTTGAGGTTCAGGTCGAAATTCTTTGCCAAATCAAAAATAATAAAGAAAATTAAAACACTTCTCTTATTATTTTTTCCTGTTTCATCCATCTTGGGCCTGGTCGGGCAACCGTTCCTGTGCCACTCTACTAACATAGGTAGAAAATCAAAGGAAAAGCTCCCACTTGAAAGAAACAAATACAAGCTCCTTTTTTTTCTTCTTTTTTTTTCTTTTTTTTTCTTTTTTTATTTGTTTTTTACAAATAGAAACTCTGATGTTACTTGTCAACTCTCTGCTATGGCTTAATGGCTTCCTAAATCCAATGTTATACCCGAAGTCGTCCTGCCTCACCCAAATGATGTGTGTGCCACGTCCTATACCACACATCGCCCGCCACTACACTATACTACCACATCATAGGCTATGCCACATGCCATACTATTTCCCATGCTAATCTACGTCCAATCGTACACTATGTGATACTCGATGCTACAAACAACTCTATGTATACTGCTTGCTATGAGTCATCCCATGGCTACCAGTATCTATCTATTCAGTAACTTGGGCCCACAATATGAATATAGTCATATACCTAGACGGGATCCGAGAGGAACATATAACATTCTACAAAACTATCAAGTGACAAAACAGGCCCTATGACACACTCTTTCCTCTACTTAGCACGTTTCCCTCATGATGCTAAACAGTCAACAGTCGGCAGAGTCGCTGACTCTATCTATCTCTATTTATGTATCGTCAAACAGAACCACCCGGCAAACGGTCAGCAGAGAGGGAGAAAAGGACAACACCAAAGGGGATGTGACAAACTGTTTCGTCAGAGTTCCACTAACTCATCAGGAGGCTGAACTCTCAACAATCTGCATAATCCCCTAACTGATTACATTGTAAGTGATAATCCACCTTCTTAACCCCGGTTGTGGTTAAACCACCAGTACCTTTCGCAGCTATCGATGTCGAGCCTAAAACTGCCCTGTGCGCCAAAAAAAAGTGAACCAACGTGGGGGTTGCATACTTGTGAAACACAATCATAAGTATGGCACAGATTCCCATAACCGACCAGATAATACAAAGTTAATATACAAATACAGATACAGCGGAAGACTTGAGATACATGGATTGACTCAGACCTAACTCAGACTGTAACGAAACACTCGCAAACATACATCGGTGGTGTGAAAGCCCTGGCCTTGGACACAAAAGAAAAGGCCAGGGTCTGAGATCATACACGGACGAATGGAGGGAGAGGCGAGACGAAGGAGGAGGAGAGGGAAGTTGACATCAACACCATGAATCCAGAAATAGTATCTCGAAAGTCGTAAGTAACGCAAATCCGAAATGTCGTGGAAACAAAGTCTCATGGTGTCCCAAATGTTGAACTCCCAATATCAAGATACATCTCCAGAAGTAGATGAAGTCGGATCCCGGAAGTAGTCCTCAACCACTGTCTCAATGTTACTATCTCAAATGTCATTAGAACTCGTAACCATCCTCCATAGTTGTACTAGTCCATTAGGAGCGACCCGAGAGTAGACAGAGACTCGGCGGGTAGGAAGAGAGCGAGCGAGAGAGGGAGAGAGAGAGCGAGAGCAAAGGAGGAAGAGGGAGGAAAGACGGGCCTTTTCTCCCTGGTCCCTGGCGGTGCAGCGATGGCGCTGCAGGGCTGGGTGCTGGGCCTCGGGCTGGGCCAGAGGGCCGGCGCTGCTATTGCTTGTTGCGCTAGCTCGCTGCTGCGTTGTTCCTCCTTGCTGCTGCGCTAATTTCTCCAACGCTGAAACGCTGCGCTAATCTTGTAGACTAACTCGTAACCTAACCTCCAGACTGACTGTTGACCAACCTACCGACTGAGGCTGGTACCCAGCTGATATAGTGTTGGGTCGGCCTCAGTCCTACTGAGGGCCTTCGGGTCTGGACCGTTGATCAGGCCCAACGGTTCAGATCCGATTTTGAATCTGAAGAGTGACGCCTAAACTGCGTCACCGACTGATCCTACCGATAGACCGGTATCTGGCCTAACTAGCCGTTGGGTCTGGTGGGGTCTAAACAAGGCCTACCGAACCCTGGACTGCACCAATGGTTCCTAGGCCTACCTGGACCTAAATGGGACCGTCGTGACCCGGTAACTAGGCCTAAACCGTGCCTACTACAGAACCGGGCCCTAACTGGGGCCCGTGTGGTATCAGTATGCCACACACTCCCCCCCTTGAAGACCGAGCTAACTACGAGGGCGAAGTTGTCTGTCCAATGTCCGTACGGGGCGGGCGGGTTGGGCAGCTTCCTTAGCAAGTCGCTGTTTTTCGTAATGCACGAAGATGATAGGTGTTGTCGCCTTCAGATCAGCTCGTGAAATCCAGCGTGTGTCGTCGTGATCGCATTCTTGAATGTAACTTTGTACTGCATTGGCTTGTTGTCGTGCTTGCGATGAGCAAGGACGCGGTCGACCTCCTGGTGACCATCCACTGATGGAGGGTCATGTGACCGTCTGCCCGGAAAATCCACTGGTGAGGTTGGAGTATAGACCGCCAGCTTTGAAGCGTGAAACACTGGGTGGACCGTCAAATGCGGGGGAATCTCGATTATGAAGGAGGGACCCGCGGGGTCGTTGCCAGCTGCTGAAGTGACCTTCCATGGACCAAACCACTTAGGGAGGAGCTTGTGCGAGACGTGCTGCTCGAGCGCGAAGTCCTCGGAGGTGACACAAACAAGGTCGCTGGCGCGGATTGGACATGGGATGCGACGCCGGTTCGCTTGCTGCTACATACGGACCTGAACCTTTTGCATATTTGTGCGGGGTTTGGCCAGCAGTTCCCTCTACTTTCGTGTAGAAGTGGGGGAGCAAGCAGCGTCAATAGCGGCAGCCCGTGGGGAGCAAAATGCCTGCGAAGATGCGGCCTTTTCGTCCACCGTGATGCAACTCGAATGGAGTCACGCCGATCGTCGGGTGCACCGAAGTGTTGTAGGCGAACTCAATGTCGGGGAGCCGGTAAACCCAATCCTTTTGATCCGGCGGATGAGTGTGTGGAGCATCATCTGCGCAGTCTGGTGTGCACGTTCCGTTTGCCCATCCGTTTGTGGATGCCGTGCAGAACTCGGTTTCATGTTGGTGCCGAATTCCACCATGAGTGTCTTCCAAAAGGCCGACATGAAACGAGTGTCGCGATCGCTGGCGATGTCTTTCGAAACACCATGGCTGCAAAACCAGCCGGTGTGCAAGAGCCGTGCGAGCTCGGGAGCCGTCGAGTGATACTTGCATGGAAGAAATCGAGCGTACTTGCTCGAACGGTCGACGACCATGAGAATACCATCATGGCCAAGGCGACCCCGGGGGAAAGGACCGGTCACATCCATAGCGATGGAGAGACCTGATTCCCGAGGAATCGGCAATGGTTTCAGTTCGCCGTACAGGAGCTGATGGCGCCCTTTGTTCCGGTGGCAAACTGCACATGACTGAATGTACCGGTTGACATCGTTGATGATATCCAGCCAGTGAAATCGTTGGCGGAGTCGTGCCAGTGTGCATGCGACGCCAAGGTGTCCCGCCAGCCGCGAATCGTGCTATTCGCGAAGGAGGCGAGTGCGCAAGATGCGGTATTGGGGAACACACAACAAGTCCTTGCCTCGCGTATGGAGAAGCAAGTAGCCGTCGACAATGCGATAATTGCTTGCCGACGGGTGATCCGATGATAAGTCCGCATAGAGCGTGGAGAATCCCGGATCGGACTTGTAGCCGTTTACGAAATGTTGTTGCAGGTCCTCATCGAGGTCGAATGTGGAGCGCACCAAGGCGCAAAGATCAGGTCTTCGTGAGAGGGCATCCGCTGCCTTGTTCGAGGGGCCCAGAATATGCTTGGAGGTCAAGTCGAACTGGTCAATGAAATACATCCAACGACCGATCGTGCTGCTCACCGTGTCTTGCGTCTTGTAATAAGTCAACGGATTGTGATTCGTTGCCCACGTGAAACACTGACACCTGAGGAGAAAGTGACGCCAACGCTCAAGTACGGTGACAAAAGCTAGCAGCTCCTTTTTCCTCGCATCATCAAGAGAATTGACGGGCGGCACCTTTTGGCTGAAGTACTCAACCGGATGCCAGTTTGTGTCATCATGTTGTTCCAAAACCGCGCCAATGTCGTCACCGGAAGCATCCGTAGTCACTTTGGTTGGCAAGGTCGGGTCATAGATGCTTAAGACGGGAGCTTGAAGCAAAGTCGTCTTCAGCGCATGGAACGCGTGTCGGGCTTCGGCGTTGAACTCGAAGGGCACCAAGGGGGACTGAAGTCACGACAATGGTGCAGCGATCCGTTGGAAGCTCTTAACGAAGCGCATGTAGTATGATGCTAAGCCAAGAAAGGAGCGGACGTCGGTAGTACACGCGAGGTCCGACCAATCTTGAATGGCTTGTACTTTGTCCGAGAGCGAACGAATGCCTTGCGGTGTCACCTAATGGCCCAAATACTCCAGCTCTTGCTGGGCAAACTCGAACTTGTCGCAGTTTGCCTTGTACTTGGCGATACGGAGCCGCTCCAAAACGGCGTGAAGGTGCTCGAGGTGCTCGTCCAGCGACCGGCTATAAATGAAGATATCGTCAAGGTAGATAAGTACAGTGCGGTCGAGCAGGTCGCGAAATTCCATTGTCATAGCCACTCGGAAAGTAGCCGGGGCATTGGTGAGACCGAAAGGCATGACAATCCACTCAAAGTGCCCATGCCGCATTTTGAATGTGGTCTTGTACCGATCTCTTGGCTGGATCTTGATCTGGTGATAGCCGGATTTGAGGTCAAGCTTTGAGAAGTACTTGGCGCCACCTAGTCGCTCGAGAAGATCATCGATCCGAGGGAGAGGGTCGGTCTTCTTAATCGTTTGTGCGTTAAGTTTTCGATAGTCGATGCACAAACGAAGGTCCTTGTTCTTCTTCCAAACAAAGAGAACGGGAGCACCGTATGGCGAACGGCTAGGGCGAATCCAGCCCTTGGCCAAGAGGTCGTCTAGTTGTGCCCGAAGCACTTGAAGCTCCTCTTCGCTCATGCGGTAAATACATCCGCGCGGAGGTACGGTGTCGTCCTCGAGAGTGATCCCGTGGCGTATGGGCCGATTCAGTACAACTCCGGCGGGAGCTTGGAAGACATCCTCATAGTTGTCCAACAGCTCCATGATACGTGGTTCCGATGTATCCGTCTTGAGCTGGTCAATGGGTGGGCGGGCGTGAAGAAAACAAATGCCCATCTCCTCGTTGTCGTGCCGGCTGATGGATTGGCGAATTCTTGCCGCGAAACCCCGTGACAACCAATCGAAGGATGAGGAAGCGAAACCGTACACGGGACTAGTTCGCCACGCCGATCACGAACGTGAACGATGCGTCGATAAAAGTTCACCGGATGGTCGTCGCTTTGCGGCCACGACATGCCTAAGATCATGTCGAACTTAGTGCCCAAAATGTCGAATGACACGGCCTCTCATGATAGCGGGGCAAAGTACACAAGCACAGAGTCAACGCAGCGGTCAATTGACTTTTGTGTGTGACCATCAGCCAATGTGACGTGCGTAGGCTGACTTTTCCTTCGAACGCTCGGGCCTAGCCCGGCGCGTGCCATGAAGTCTTGGCTGATGTAGTTGAGAGACGCTCCACAATCGATCAAGGCAATGCAGGTTGCCTTTCCGATTTGAATGCGGAAGTAGAGGAGCGGTGCGTCGATGTCGACGTACCGTTGTGTTGCGTGCTCGCGATCGATCTTCGCAACATAGCTACGAAGGTCAACAACTGCTACTCCGCCGTCCGTCGACGAAGGTGGTATTGCAGCGTGCAAGTATTCGTGCAGTTGTGCCATGAGGGCGTTGCAATGCGGTGTTGGCAAAGAACCGGTGGAGGGAAGAGGCAACCATTGGAAGTCCTCAACCGTCAACGGGTCGAGTACCTTAAGGCTCGCCCAAGTTGACGGATCCTCCGATAGAAGGGTTGGCGAAGTCACCGGTTCGTTGGCCGACGGCGAAAACACCGCGCATGCGCTTTGATCTTGCACGAGGAGAGGCTGGTTCAACGGTGGGACCATCTCGACAGCATAGTTCTCGAAGTCAATCCGAGAACTTGCAACGACCGCGTCATCCCCGAACGTGAGAGAGACTGCTAGCAAGGCAGCCGAGTCCGGCGGATTGGGAACTGATGTCGCTGCACTTCTCGTGGTGCTCAGTTTCTCGAGCTTGGACGCTTGACATTTTCTTTGTCCTTGTCGAGGCATGCACTGGTGATGTGCTTGGTGTTGTTGCACCATAAACAGCATCCCCATTTCTGCCTCAACTTGAACATGTCTTCGGTGATACCGAACTTCGTCCACCGACGCTGGTTTCGCCTTATGTTTTCCCCCTCAGGGTCTTGAGCGTTGCGGTGGTATTGTTGCCGACACATCTTTGTCACTTGATGTTGAAGCGGCTGCGTGGTCCTCACTAGATCCTTGCTGGATCGCTGCTACTTGCGGCTTCCGCTGACCTTTGCCTTTCTCCACGTAACCGGGCTGTTGTCGGGCCTCATTGGCCGTGCGCCAGTTACCTTATACGAGTTCTCTTGCCTTTGAGATCATTGCGTCAAAGGTCTCATACTGAAATTCGCTGCCAAGGGCAGCTATCAAACCGTCGCAAGATCGGGCGAAGAACTCAGCCCGGATTGCGTCGAACGACAAGTTTAACTCCGGGGTGGCGACGAGACTTCGCCACTCCGTCAGCCATTCCCGTGATGGTTGTTGGCTTTGAAAGATGCGGAAGATCTTGTTTAAGGCTTGACGTTTGTCGTTGTTGACCATGAACCGGGTCTTCCACTTCTTCTCGAATTCCTCCCACGTGACCTTGGTGTGGAGGGTGGCAATGGTGCACTCCAACGTGACGGTCATGTGAATCATGAAAGCTTGCGCCCCGCCAATGAGTTGGAGGTAGAGTGCGTCAAGCCGCCGTTCGGGTAGGACGTGATGTACGCCTGTCTCCACGTTGAATGCCATCCACCACTGAAGCGGATCGGTCTTGTGGTAATCGTCGAACTTCTCAATCTTGAAGTTCGGCATCTTCCATTCCTTGAGGACGGCGGCCGTTCGTTGCTGAACACGGTCGCTGAGCGTCTGCAGCTGATTGCTAACTGTCGATGCTTCAGCAAACTTGCTGATGTCGCCAAGGGATGCTACCACGTGGTTGATCCGCTCCTCGAGTTGCTTGGCTTGGGCAGCCAAAGCTGGGCTGCAGTCTGCCACTGCACTGCCCGTCGACTCGACCGCGGATAGTCACGCCAACCCTGTGCTGACAGTGGTCTGCAGCTGGTCGTTGATGGTCTGCTGCTGGCTGTTGGCGGCCTGCAATGTGTTGTTCTCGGCCTGCAATGTCGCGATCTTCAGGTCTATCGACTGGAAAGTTGCTTTGTAGCGGATGAAGATCTGCCGCATGGCCAGCAGTTCGTGTTGCTGCCAATTGCACGTGTACAACAGATTCTCCATCAATACTGCTGTGGATTCCTTGTCCCTCTCTTCCTCGATCGGCTCCTCTTGTTCTTCGGTTGTTTGGAAGTGCTGCCATCGAAGTAGCTTGCGGTACGTGGCTTCGTCTTTTACAAGGTCCATTGTGGCCTGGTAAAGAGCTTGATTCTAACTTGCCTCGACCTGCTGCTGCTGCAACCGTGCGGCTGCTGCTGCTTCGGCTGCGGCCTGCTGACGTGATGCTTCGGCCTCTTCCAGCTGGCGCTGAATTGCCTGCTGGCGGGGGACCTCCTCCTTTTCCCATTTGCGAAGTTCGGCTGCAGCAGTCTCCGTGTAATGTTGGAGACGTTCGAGAAACACGAGTTGTGATTCATCTGCCTGCCGGACTGGCATGGGGGGAGTGACCGGCCGCTTGGGGCTGGCCTGCGTACTGACGTCGGCAGTTTCGGCCATGGTCGTGCGTCGTCTGCGCGGGATCCGAGGTGTCTTGGGTCCTTGTTGGGGCTTGGTTCCTGCGGATCCGCGCTCAGCAAGCCGTTGAGTGCGGCGCATCACGTAGTCCTGGCTTCGTTGCTGCTGACGTGTCACTGCTGAGGTGGCACTGCTGAGGTGGCACACTGACGATTTGGCAATCTGTTGTCGTGGCACGGTGAGGTGGCACGCTGCTGATGTGGCATTCTGCTCTCGTGGCACGCTGCTGATGTGGCACAATGCTGACGTGGCCGGAGACTGAAGTTCGCAGTACCGAGAGGAGGAGAGAGAAGGTAGGGGTGGGAAGAAGGGAAAGGAGGCAAACAATGCACAGACAGTCCCTTTCTTCCCTGATCTCGAACTTGACACTAGTCAAAAAAAAAATTCCACCCCCCCCAAAAAAATTGAATTTTGAAAAATTAAATATTAAATATTCAATTATTATTCAATTAAGTAAATTTAATCAGGCAAAATACGAGTTAATTACATAAAATTTTAAATTTGGCAAAAATTAAATATTTTATTATTTAATTTTAAAAAAAAATACTTAAATTTGCAAAAATAAAATTGAATAAAGTTTAAACAAGATTAAACATTTAATCAGAATATTTAACAATTTCATTTAATCAGGAGAATTTAGCATCCTTACGAGGGCATGAGGTAAGTAGAAGATCAATGGTGGCAGGAAGATACACAACTTGCTGTAAAGATTCAAACTTTAATCGCAATAAAAGATGCGCTTTGCAAAAAGTGGAAGTTCTGTGAAGTTGCAGTTTGAATGTGGCCGTGCTCAGGCCCGATCTGCCTTAATTGGCACTGTGCCTGGCTGGCACTTACTTCCCATAGGCTTGATAGGTCGTTAGATTAGGTTAGGACTAACCCTAATTAGCGCAAATGAGGTTAATCGTGATTAGCGATTTCCTAACTGTGAGCAGTGCAAGGAACCCAACTGTTCATCACTTGCTGGAGTGCAACAGATCACATGCATATACACAGATTTTCACAGACTCGATGTCTCACACAAAGCCCAATAGAAGATGAATGAGAGCCAGGAAGCTCAACTCAAATATCATAACCAGATTAGGAGAGGAAATCGTGAGTCCAAAAATGTAAAGTGCCGAACAGAGTTACAAGTACTCTTCAATCAATCAGATCACATGCATAAACACAGATTTTCACAGATTCGATGTCTCACACAAAGCCCAATAAAAGATGAATGAGAGCCAGGAAGCTAAACTCAAATATCATAACCAGATTAGGAGAGGAAATCGTGAGTCCAAAAATGTAAAGCGCCGAACAGAGTTACAAGTAGTCTTCAATCAATCACGAGTTCCAAGCCTGGCGTTCTTCAGCGCCAGCCGCCAATCGTCAACAACAGCGCTCAACAGGTAATTATCACCATAGCTCTCTCCTCCCCCTCTCTCATCTGCTTTCTTCTCTCTCTCCCTCTATGTCTTTAGTCCTGGTTTACTCACACTCTCCACGCAAGCACACTCCCTATCACACGAGGATCTACTCTGAATACTACTCACTGGTGTCTCCTACTGACTATTCCCACTAATATACTAACTAGCGCTGGCGCAGCTATGGCTGCCTTCTATCCAGCCAGCGCTCACTTCTTCTTTCACACATAGCGCTGCTCTTCAGCTCA